TACCCACCTACCTACCTACCTACCCACCTACCTACCTACCTACCTACCTACTTTCCTTCCTTCCCTTCCCTTCCCTTCTTTCTTTTCTTTCTTTCTTTCTTTCTTTCTTTCTTTCTTTCTGTTCCTTCCTTCCTTCCTTCTTTCTTTCTTTCTTTCTTTGTCTGTCTTCCTTCCTTCCGTCCACCTTCCTTCCTTCCTTCTGTCTGTCTGTCTTCCTTCCATCCCACCTTCCTTCCTTCCTTCCTTCCTTCCTTTCTTTCTTTCTCTTTCTTTCTTTCTGTTCCTTCCTTCCTTCCTTCTTTCTTTCTTTCTTTGTCTGTCTTCCTTCCTTCCTCCCTCCTCCCTCCTTTTTCTTTTGCACATATATTGCAACAACAGCAGAAATATATTGAGGGAGAAGGCCACCAAAATCTGTCTTGTAGAGGTGGAGAATGACGAAGAGGCTAGGTCTAGAAAAAAGAAGGAGCAAGGGTGTTCTAAATACTCTTCCTTTCTATGTTTCTGCAACAGCTGCTTCTTTGTGATCTAAGATGACTTTAGGAACAACCGAAATAAAGAAACTCCAAGCAAATTCTTTAATGCAATCCTCTTCAGGGGAGGAAAAGAGAGTTTAAGGCGTGAGAATGCAAGCCAGCAGTTCTTTCATCTGTATTTATTTTTGCCTTTCCAGGTGCCTTCCTCATCCCTTACTGCCTCTTCCTCATCATTGCAGGAATGCCTTTGTTTTATATGGAACTTGCTCTGGGCCAATATAATAGAGAAGGGGCTGCTACAGTATGGAAAATATGCCCATTGTTTAAAGGTAAATCCAAAGTCTTCAATCCATTCCGGGTTTTTATTCTTGTTTCGGATCTCTTGGTCATTTTGATGATTGCTTTTTATGCCACCCTAGTTTTATGCTACCTCTTTTTTTTCCTTATCTCAACCGTTGGTTTCCAAACATACTGTATTTACGAAACTTCCTTTAGTTTCAAAATCAATGTTCCAGAAATGTTCTGACATGATTACTAATATTTCTTTTGAACTTTTAAAACTATTATTATTATTATCATCATCATCATCACAACAACAGAATTGTATCACAGCGGCCAGTTGTTTCGCCGGATTTGGCATTGGTTACTAGTCGGGCCCCACCCAGGGCCCTAGGACGTCGTAACGTATTTTCGTNTTCAGGAACTGACTTCTGGTTTGGCCGTAGGGCCATTTTTTGCCATCCCGAGCCTTCAGGAAGCTTCCCTGAAGGCTCCGGAGGGCTAAAACCAGTTCTACGAGCAAACCGGAAGTCACCATTCCTAAACTTCCGGGTTCCCCATAGGTCTTTTTTTCACCATATGGAGGCGGTGGGCCGGGGAGACTGTTTTCGCCCTCCCCAGGCTCCTAGAAAGACCTCTGGGGTCTGGGGAGGGTGAAAAAAACATACCAAAAGCAGAGGGGTATGACCCCTTTGCGCTCCACCTGCTTTTGGCACGGGAGCCAAAAAAGGTTCGCCATCACTGCCTTAGGATATCTTGTGAGGTGAGTGAGACCAGCTGGTATCTTTAAGTGGTGCATTTCGGATGGCGTTACTGTCGGTTCACTCATGGGCATGCTTCGCTGGATGCTCACTGCGGGCACATGCGCAGTTCAATGGAAATTGTTCTGCGCATGTGCAGAAATAAAAATAAAGATGGCGGCAGCGACGACTGTGGAACTGGTTCAGGGGCGTGGCCAGCCTGGTTTGCAGCCAGTTCTGCAACCCCAGCCGGCATAACACCAACAATTCGGCTGAACCAGGGCAAACTGGTAGAAATCCACCTGTGATGCAAATCTAATAAACGAAAGTAGTAAATAAGGCAGGTTGTGGGGAACTAAATGGAGCTGGAGAGATAGAAAACTAAAATGGCTCATGGGGATCTATAACATAGAGATTTGCCAGTGGCAGACCAGCAACTTTAAAATTCAAAGTTAGCTAAGATGGGTTTTCTTTTTTTTCTTTTTGGACTGTTTTAAGCCACCCTCTGAAATGCTGCCGATTTTGAATAACTTTGTTATTCAACAAGTTTGTTCTTGAATAAGTTTGATTCAAACGCCCCTTTCTCCCTTTTTTCAGCTTTCTCTCTTATTTCTCTCTTTTCGTTTAACTTTCCAGGGCCGTGCAGGACCAAGTGGGGAACCAGGCCGACCTGGTGCCACTGGGCTACGGGGTGAATCCGGCCAGCAGGTAAATCTTCTGCAAAAAATGAACAAATGATGCAATGAGGCTCTGATGAATGTTACTTCGATGAATGCAGAATTCTTTTGGATAGGGCTGCAATATTTAATTCAATCAATTCTGTAATGTAAGTCCCTCCCCTGTTTATTGTGAGCCGCCCGGAGTCCTTCGGGAGTGGGCGGCATACAAAACCAATAAAACCAATAAACCTAGAAGTCAGGGGTCCCCAGTCCCACAGGCCGTGGCCTGTTCAAAACCCGGTGGCAAGAGAGATGGTGTTCTGACCCAGCTCTCCAAACACGACAAATTGCAATGATTCCTTCATTAGGAGCGCCAGCAGCCCCGGCAAAACGTTTCTCTTTCACCGCAGGCTAGCAAGTCATATGCGTAGAATTTCTCCTTATTTTCGGTTCAGTGTTTTAGTGTTCACTGTTTTTAGAATAGTGTAA